CTTGGTTGTAACAACGATTCTTCGCGGCAGGGGATCGTATTCCAGGGACCTGCCCGAAACGCTACGCGTACTAGTGGCTCTACAAGAATGTAACAACTCTTGTATATATCTCTCAAAAAAAAAAACTAAAAAAAAATTTGTGTTGATGAAGGTCATTCATGTTATTTGATTTGAAGCCCCACCCACTGATGACGTCACAGGTCAGGTAGCCAGAACATTTTTTTGTATAACAACAGATCTATCTTACCTTAATGATTATCACTTCATTAACAAATGGCTGAATAATTAAATGGTTGAAAAAGCTTTTTTTGGGTAGATTCGTGTTGCAACAGAAGTTGCAGAGTTGATGTGCTGAACACCAGAAATGATATTGTTAAGTGAGCGGAGCATTTAGCTGATTCCATCCTGTGATTGGCCGTTGTGGTGAATGTCAACAAAGAATTTCTACCAATGAGAAGTAAGCGCGGGAATGCTTCCTTCAGCACAACAACCCGTCTTATGGGCTGCTGTTGGCCTTGATAGTGCGATATTCTGCCAACAGATGGCATCAGCTGTATCTTATGGACTGCTACTAACCCAACCTGCTAATAGTGCATATATCTGTGGATAGATGGCCTCAGCTGTATTGCCATTGCCTCCGAAGAGAGAGAGAGAGAGAGAGAGAGAGAGAGAGAGAGAGAGAGAGAGAGAGAGAGAGATTTTGTAAAGCATATTTATTATATATGTGTTGTACCTAATAGGCCAAGTTGCCTAACAAGCCAAATTTAATTTTCCTAGAAATAATATATTAAAACAAATAATTCTGATGGATTGACGAAGCGTTCCATAACACTAAAAATGATTTTATTTATTCTTTCAATTTGAGTTTAAACTATCAAGAAAATTTGATCAAACTTAATCTAGCCTACCTAACCTAAGTCAGTAATTAATGTTCCTAATATAATATAATAATAATTTTAAATGGAATAAAATAATGTGTGAAAAAATATTTGAAATTAACGAAAATCTCTGCTTGTTAGGCAAAACGGGCGCCTCACACATTAAGCCAAGTAGTGTATATCTGGCTGTTAGTTTGGCGCTTGTTAACTAACAATCCTTATAGACAATCGCTGCTGAAGTAGTTATGGGCACGCTGTATGCGGGGGGGGGGGGGGGGGGGGGAGGGGGACAGGGTAAGGGGGGGAGGGGTTATATATATTAGATAAACGGGGCAACGATTGTTCGAACTCTGGTTAGAGTATACTTAGAGTAGAGTATATATATATATATATATATATATTATATATATATATATTATATATATATATATATATATATATAAATATATATATAATACATATATATATTATATATATATATATATATATATATATATATTATATTATATATATATTATATATATATATATATATATATATATATATATATATATATATTATATATATATATATATATACAATCTTTTTTTTCAAAACACCTTTTTTTCAAGGCACCTGACACTGCAGGTCAAACAATAAGCTTGAGTGTCAATCACTGGATATCTTCACGCACCATAGACTATCAAGAGCGTTATCTTGATCAAGATAGCAGAAATACAGCGATACAGCAGACAATTGGGAATTACACATAGCGCAAACCTTTCGCAATGAAACATTCTCATTCACTTATTAATTACCAACTGCACTTCGTTTTTATCATATCGTCATCAAGATTAAGAGAGAACTGCTAGTTTTCGGCATACTAACCGCTCCAGCTGACCGATGAAGATGTTGGACGAGATATTACCTCTTAATTTACTCTTAGAGGTTAACCTAAGTTAACCTTAGAGTTAACTTAGGTTAACCTAAGTTAACTCTTCTTATCACACCATCATGGAATATAATATATATATATATATATATATATATATATATATATATATATATATATATATATATATATATATATATATATATATATATATATATATATATATATATATATATATATATATATATATATATATATATATATATAGTGAAATATACAATGCTGTGTTCGTGTTTTCATATTCACTTCCCTTCTGCCTCTGAGCATGTTAAGGTGCAACTTATCGAAACGCAACTGGCCTGCATTCGTCTGGAGCGAATTATCTTTATATTAGATTCTTCACTTCATAACGAACCTTAAAATATAATTTCCAAAGTTACTTTTACGCTTCTAATATACTTGACACGTTCCGCTAATGTGATAAATAGCATCATCATTGGCATCAGAAAAGTGAATGGACAGGTAAATAGACAAAATTATATTTAAGGTGGATTTGATGGGAAGGGACACGGCTACCTTCTTATCTTGAGGTTATCTTGAGATGATTTCGGGGCTTTTTAGTGTCCCCGCGGCCCGGTCCTCGACCAGGCCTCCACCCCCAGTAAGCAACCCGTGACAGCTGACTAACACCCAGGCACCTATTTTACTGCTAGGTAACAGGGGCATAGGGTGAAAGAAACTCTGCCCATTGTTTCTCGCCGGCGCCTGGGATCGAACCCAGGACCACAGGATCACATGTCCAGCGTGCTGTCCGCTCGGCCGGGTGCCGATATACCATGCTGAGGATAATTTTAGCAACGGAGTCTCGTTGCTTGGCTGGTCTTGTTAATGGTAGGACGCATCTAGATTTAGCTAGTTGGTGATAATTGAATGAGAGTGTTTCATGTGAAGTGCTTCTGCTACATAATTTCCTGTTGTTGTTGTTTGGTCAGGATCTATCTGCTAATGGTCTGTTTGTGTTGTGAGTCAAATATGCTGCAAGCTTGACATACCACAGCCCGTCCTCCAAACAAAGACCCAAAAGTGATTCCATGCACCCGCCAAACCCCAGCTGTTTATGAATGAAAAACGGTTTACACACGACTCACAACTGCTGACGTTCGAACACTTCCGGAACAAGTGTTTCACTGACGAATTTTGTTCGAACCACAACGCTATAAATGCTTCACCCACGTACTACAAATACAAATAATCACCAACAGAACCTAAACACCTAACCTAACCTATGGTTATATATACGCAATATGCTAATATATTATAATGTTAATTTAGATTTGAGAAAATTCCAGTTTTGAATGAAGAGCATGTAAAAGTTTATGAATGCGTCTGTGGGGTCGACCGCTGGATGGAATGGACTTGAGTCGAGGACGGGTTGCATACCAATATGAATACTTAGGCCGCTATTCGAAGCATATAACAAGGAGAAACCTATCCTTAGTTCTGGTTATTTAATATCTTTATAAGTATATGGCATTGCTTTTTTCCCAACCCCTCCAGGTGTTCTTTTTCTAATTATTTCATAGATACCATTGTTGAGAAGGTACTAGTTGATGTGGGCCTTAAATCTGATGTCTAGTGCAAGTATATTGACTACATTTTCTTGCAGGTTCCTCACTGGGAATCCTTCTTACTGCTGGCGATGAGTCACAATAACGTGGCTAAAGTATGTTGACCAGACCACACACTAGAAGGTGAAGGGATGACGACATTTCGGTCCGTCCTGGACCATTCTCAAGTCGATTGTCGTCACAATCGACTTGAGAATGGTCGAGTGTGACTTGAGAATGACTTGAGTGTGTGGTCTGGTCAACAAAATCCTTCTTACTGTTTAAGAAATATTTACAATTAAACTCCGTGCTTGCCTTTACTCATAAGACAAAGTTAAAAAAACAGTCTTTATTTCGTGCAATAGTGTACTCTAAGTTACCTTCCGTCTACTCCACTTTTTTTTTGAGATATATACAAGAGTTGTTACATTCTTGTACAGCCACTAGTACGCGTAGCGTTTCGGGCAGGTCCCTGGAATACGATCCCCGCCGCGAAGAATCGTTGTTACAACCAAGTACACATTTTACTGTTGAGTTAAAAAGAGGCTACATTTGGTTAAGGATTTGCGCCCAGTAATTAATATCCCAGCCAGGATACGAACCCATGACAAAGCGCTCGCGGAACGCCAGGCGAGTGTCTTACCACTACACCACGGAGACTGGTGGATGTAACATAGATTTAATAGGTATGGGTTTAACATAGGTGCGCCTATTAATGTTATTTATATGAGTATAAAGCCAGTACAAGAAAGGTGTTAATGCCTATGCCTACCTTAAACTTTCACACACATGCAGATGGAAGCAGGCCGAAGAGAACCGTAGAAGAGTAAGGCAGTTATGCTAATGGCTATTTAGAAGCTGTTATTAAACGGAAGATGAACCACCATAGGACACCGCTGACGAGGTCAACATTGCCAAACATGTATCGCTTGTTAAACTCCATTATTGACTAACGTTTTCAACAGCTCGTGAGATATAGGAAAGAGATCTGATAGACATAATTGACAGAAACGTGACCCCTCCTAACTCTAAGCATAAAAAAAATCTTACAGTTATTACCTTCAAGATCAAGAAGATCCTAAATGTCTCACGACGACTATACCAGATTTGTAGTGGAAATGTCTTCTCATAGACATAATAACATAGGATAAAAACCTACACTTATGTATTTGTGAATTTTATGTAAAGATTTGCACCAAGTCTTTCGCACTCTCCTGAGTCTTTGTCAAGGTCTGAGTGTGTGGTTAGGCCGAGACTTACATCTCAACGGCTAAGGCATTAGTCGTTGAGATATAAGCCTCGTCTTAATCACACACTCAGACCTTGACACAACATCCACGAGAGTGGGAAAGACTTGGTGTAAATCTTTACATAAATTTCACAAACACATACGATTGGGTTTTTTATCCAACTATACCAGATACCAAGTGGAGCGCCTTGAGACAAATCTTGTCTATTCCTTTGCACTTGGAAACTATCAGCCTTTCTTTCTTGCCTACTTTCAATATGTGTGAATGAAGATAACATCTCTTTTAAAGCACCAGGAAATGTACCCAAAAAAGATATCCAAACCATCACCACAGACATTCTGATCAACAATAATAAAAAAAATATCGATAATTGCAGTAATATAAGAGATTAAAAATGGCAGAAACACTTCATATAAAATATAAAGTGCTTCTGCTATTTTTAATCCTAGAATTTTGTTCACATAGCATTAGAGACTCACAAGCCCCTGGATCAGGTAAGATGACACATATTGCTTTTGTTTACATCTTAATGCTTCATCAAGTGTCTCGAATATCAATTAAATAATGTACACTTGACGAAGGAACAGTGGAACAGCGTGAACAAGTTCACTCATTCATATATAAATAAGTTTGGAGAATCTGCATATCATGGAGGTTGTGGAAACTAATGTCATTCAGATTTAACCTTGAATGCAATATCATAATATATATATGGTACACATCATAGTATTTAGTATCTTTCATAGATATATAGACTTTTCAGCTTGTCCTGATGGTCGTTTAGATCTGATTAACTGGTTTGAGAACCCTTTCTATTCGACCATAAGTTAAGCCTTATGCTGTTATCATTTAAATACGAATGCTAATCTATAATAATATGCTGGTTATATCATTTAAATATTTGGTTAAATGAGATAACTAAATAGAGTTTAATTCCTGCTTAGTCCGGAATGTTATTAAGTTTCATCTACTGCCACAGGTCGGGAGAACTTCAGTGACGACTTCACTTCCCCTCTGGAGCCGGAGCTCTCGTCTACGCCTTATTCCAGTGCCTATATGACTGAGTACCCCTCCCATCAGCCGGCGCTGGGACGCTCTCCCAGGGGCAGTGTCTCCCCTCCCCGGCACCAGTACAACACCTCCCCTCTCAGGACCCCCAGGGGGTACACCTCCCCTCTCAGGACCCCGAGGGGGTCCACCTCACCATCCACACTCCCGCAGGAGGTAAGGTCTCGCAGGAACAGTGATTCACCACCACGGCACAATAGCTACCCCTCCGAGAGACGGTCTCCGAGGGGAGGCAGGGAGTCCCCTCTGAGGGCTGGTGAGGGATACCCTCTCAACAATCAGGACACCGGTTCACCTGACTATCAGTACAGCGACAAGAAAACCAGGCGACCAAGAGTAAGTTTTCATTGCCCAAGGATTAGAAGAACATTATTTCCAATTTCTGAATTAATAAATAAACTAACAAATATAAAATTAAATTGATGATACACAGAGAGTAATCACACTAACGTGATTGCATCAATGAGATAATCCTGGCTTCAGTAGAAGCCTCAGGAAACCCTTGTGGTTTCAGTAGAACTTCAGGTTGCAATCCTTATACCATGCCGGGGTCTATATATATATATATATATATATATATATATATATATATATATATATATATATATATATATATATATATATATATATATATATATATGACCAGGGGATATGTACTCTAGGATACATTCTACGAAGTTGTGGAAAAATCTCAAATGTCTCTCCACTGTCCACAGGTAAGCGTCCCTAGACCGTCTAAAATCAAACGCTATCTGCTTACCAGAGACCCGAAGGACAGGCGCATTTCAGGTAAGATTATGATGCCATACTAATTAATATACTTCAGTCTGTAATTTAATTAGAGCTTAGAGATAGATTAGTTTCCCTTCTGTCTCTGCATTTTCTCTCGCTGACGTCCTATAAACATATAGGACCTCCTATAAACTTATAGGACTTTTTCTATACTTATAAGACTTATAAACTTACAAAACTATATTCATAATTAAAACTCGTTTGTTATGTGTTGGGTCTGCTATGGCCGCTATGATAACTCCACAGACTCACACAGTCCACTGATATCCTGTTATATAAATCTGTGTGACTGTAAATTTGCTTTTGTGTTTGAATATATATCTAACTATCTCTTATTATACCTTTATACTTCTCAACTTTGTGGAGTAAAGTAGCAGTGATCGCGAGACTGCGTTTCGAAACGAAAGTTCAGCAGTAACAGTTATTTTGAGCATAGGAAAAGTCAAGCTCCGGTAGTGACGCTATTAGCCGGTATTTCAGTATCGTTCATCCAGGCTCTGGAGGTACCCGAAAAATATAAATGTATACATAAAGTACAGTTTACAAAAACTGTTTCAATAAATTACAAATGGACATTGCTAAAATATTATGGGTTTGGCCATATTTAGGCCCCTGGCTATGTTGGCAATTGTTCTTTGATAACAATTGTTCTTTGATAACAATTGTTCTTTGCTAACAATTGTTCTTTGCTAGCAATGGTATTTTTACTGTTCCTTGCTAATAATTATTCTTTGCTAGCAATTTTTCTTTACTAGTCATTTTTCTTGGCTTACTTTTGCTCTCTTTTCCTCCCTTTATGTATCACGTATTATGTATTTTGTATTATTGAGTCCGGATACCATTTAACAAAGATTATAACCCAATCAAGAAGAAGTAATCAACCAATTGTTGCCAAAATGTTTAAATAATTAGCCCTGTGCTAACTTGATTCTCCTTGTCTGATGGAGATTATTCTCCTTGCCTGATGGAGATTATTCTCCTTGCCTGATGGAGATTATTCTCCTTGCCTGATGGGGATTATTCTCCTTGCCTGATGGAGATTATTCTCCTTGCCTGATGGAGATTATTCTCCTTGCCTGATGGGGATTATTCTCCTTGCCTGATGGAGATTATTCTCCTTGCCTGATGGAGATTATTCTCCTTGCCTGATGGAGATTATTCTCCTTGCCTGATGGGGATTATTCTCCTTGCCTGATGGGGATTATTCTCCTTGCCTGATGGAGATTATTCTCCTAGCCTGATGGGGATTATTCTCCTTGCCTGATGGAGATTATTCTCCTTGCCTGATGGAGATTATTCTCCTTGCCTGATGGAGATTATTCTCCTTGCCTGATGGAGATTATTCTCCTTGCCTGATGGAGATTATTCTCCTGGCCTGATGGAGATTAATCTCCTTGCCTGATGGAGATTATTCTCCTTGCCTGATGGAGATTATTCTCCTGGCCTGATGGAGATTATTCTCCTGGCCTGATGGAGATTAATCTCCTTGCCTGATGGAGACTATTCTCCGAGCCTGACGCACTTGATTCGTTTAGCAAGACGTACTTGAGTTTCTGTGTCGCATCTGCTTCAGGTAACGGCCTCGGGATGAAGGTGGTCGGTGGGAAGGAGATCCCTGGCACCCGAGGACGTCTGGGCGCCTACATCGTCCGCTTGCACCCTGGGGGCGTGGCCGACGTCATGGGCCAGCTCAAGGAGGGAGACTTGATACTGGAGTGGAACGGCGTTACCCTCATAGACCGCACCTACGAGGAAGTGCAGGCCATCGTGGCGCAGTCGGTTGACGACGCTGAGGTGGAAATCGTCGTGAGAAGGTCCGTGTCTCTGGTGGGGGGAGGTGGTAATAAAGTGTGTGTGTGTGTGTGTGTGTGTGTGTGTGTGTGTGTGTGTGTGTGTGTGTGTGTGTGTGTGTGTGTGTGTGTGTGTGTGTGTGTGTGTGTGTGTGTGTGTGTGTGTGTGTGTGTGTGTGTGTGTGTGTGTGTGTGTATTTTTACTATATGTATTTACCATTTGTGCCTGCATGATCGAGTTTTTAGCTCTTGGACCCCGCCTTTCTGACCATTGGTTGTCAAATGTACTGACTTCTGACCTTTTTCTTATATATATATATATATATATATATATATATATATATATATATATATATATATATATATATATATATATATATATATATATATATATTAGTATATTTTGGTAGCAGTCTTTCCTGTAGACATATATTATTAAATATGACCGAAAAAGTAAGATTAATAATTCTAACACGAATTTTCTCAATCTTTCGTACATTACGCTTCACTGTTGGAGGTAAATCAAAAATCACTTCTCCAAAATTCATTTTTATTTCTAGTCTGACGCGACACGGGCGCGTTTCGTAAAACTTATTACATTTTCAAAGACTTCACAAATACACAACTGATTAGAACTTACGTATCTCTGATTTTATATCTACATTTGAGTGAGGTGGGAGGGGTGATGTGGCATTAACACAAGACAGAACAAGAGGGGATATTAATAGGGTATTAAAAGTATCAACACAAGACAGAACAGAAACAATGGGTATTGAATAGAAGTGTTTGTAGAAAGCCTATTGGTCCATATTTCTTGATGCTTCTATATTGGAGCGGAGTCTTGAGGTGGGTAGAATATAGTTGTGCAATAATTGGCTGTTGATTGCTGGTGTTGACTTCTTGATGTGTAGTGCCTCGCAAACGTCAAGCCGCCTGCTATCGCTGTATCTATCGATGATTTCTGTGTTGTTTACTAGGATTTCTCTGGCGATGGTTTGGTTATGGGAAGAGATTATATGTTCCTTAATGGAGCCCTGTTGCTTATGCATCGTTAAACGCCTAGAAAGAGATGTTGTTGTCTTGCCTATATACTGGGTTTTTTGGAGCTTACAGTCCCCAAGTGAGCATTTGAAGGCATAGACGACGTTAGTCTCTTTTAAAGCGTTCTGTTTTGTGTCTGGAGAGTTTCTCATGAGTAGGCTGGCCGTTTTTCTGGTTTTATAGTAAATCGTCAGTTGTATCCTCTGATTTTTGTCTGTAGGGATAACGTTTCTATTAACAATATCTTTCAGGACCCTTTCCTCCGTTTTATGAGCTGTGGAAAAGAAGTTCCTGTAAAATAGTCTAATAGGGGGTATAGGTGTTGTGTTAGTTGTCTCTTCAGAGGTTGCATGGCTTTTCACTTTCCTTCTTATGATGTCTTCGATGAAACCATTGGAGAAGCCGTTATTGACTAGGACCTGCCTTACCCTACAGAGTTCTTCGTCGACTTGCTTCCATTCTGAGCTGTGGCTGAGAGCACGGTCGACGTATGCGTTAACAACACTCCTCTTGTAACTGTCAGGGCAGTCGCTGTTGGCATTTAGGCACATTCCTATGTTTGTTTCCTTAGTGTAGACTGCAGTGTGGAAACCTCCGCCCTTTTCCATGACTGTTACATCTAGAAAAGGCAGCTTCCCATCCTTTTCCGTCTCAGCCTGAAGTCTCCAAAGGAATTTGTTGACTTACTGCGGGGCACACGGGCCACAGGGATAAGAACCTCGTTGGACGTAGAATCGCTGTTTACCAACATACCTGTGGACGAGACAATCGGAATGATAACCGACAGAGTGTATCGTGATCCAGCCTGTACTCCTCTTGACATGCCAGAAAGTATTCTGAGGAAACTACTCCAAGCTTGTACTAAAGAGGCACCCTTCTTGAGCCCGGATGGGCACATGTATAAGCAAGTAGATGGGGTCGCTATGGGTTCTCCCCTAGGTGTCCTGTTTGCAAACTTCTACATGGGTACCATCGAGCAAAAAGTCTTAGTCGACATGAACTTGAAACCGGCCATATACTGCAGGTATGTTGACGACATTTTTACACAGGTACCTGATGTCAGACATCTGCAGGAGCTGAAGGAGGCATTTGAGCAGAGTTCCGTGCTGCGTTTCACTTACGAGACGGAAAAGGATGGGAAGCTGCCTTTTCTAGATGTAACAGTCATGGAAAAGGGCGGAGGTTTCCACACTGCAGTCTACACTAAGGAAACAAACATAGGAATGTGCCTAAATGCCAACAGCGACTGCCCTGACAGGTACAAGAGGAGTGTTGTTAACGCATACGTCGACCGTGCTCTCAGCCACAGCTCAGAATGGAAGCAAGTCGACGAAGAACTCTGTAGGGTAAGGCAGGTCCTAGTCAATAACGGCTTCTCCAATGGTTTCATCGAAGACATCATAAGAAGGAAAGTGAAAAGCCATGCAACCTCTGAAGAGACAACTAACACAACACCTATACCCCCTATTAGACTATTTTACAGGAACTTCTTTTCCACAGCTCATAAAACGGAGGAAAGGGTCCTGAAAGATATTGTTAATAGAAACGTTATCCCTACAGACAAAAATCAGAGGATACAACTGACGATTTACTATAAAACCAGAAAAACGGCCAGCCTACTCATGAGAAACTCTCCAGACACAAAACAGAACGCTTTAAAAGAGACTAACGTCGTCTATGCCTTCAAATGCTCACTTGGGGACTGTAAGCTCCAAAAAACCCAGTATATAGGCAAGACAACAACATCTCTTTCTAGGCGTTTAACGATGCATAAGCAACAGGGCTCCATTAAGGAACATATAATCTCTTCCCATAACCAAACCATCGCCAGAGAAATCCTAGTAAACAACACAGAAATCATCGATAGATACAGCGATAGCAGGCGGCTTGACGTTTGCGAGGCACTACACATCAAGAAGTCAACACCAGCAATCAACAGCCAATTATTGCACAACTATATTCTACCCACCTCAAGACTCCGCTCCAATATAGAAGCATCAAGAAATATGGACCAATAGGCTTTCTACAAACACTTCTATTCAATACCCATTGTTTCTGTTCTGTCTTGTGTTGATACTTTTAATACCCTATTAATATCCCCTCTTGTTCTGTCTTGTGTTAATGCCACATCACCCCTCCCACCTCACTCAAATGTAGATATAAAATCAGAGATACGTAAGTTCTAATCAGTTGTGTATTTGTGAAGTCTTTGAAAATGTAATAAGTTTTACGAAACGCGCCCGTGTCGCGTCAGACTAGAAATAAAAATGAATTTTGGAGAAGTGATTTTTTATTTACCTCCAACAGTGAAGCGTAATGTACGAAAGATTGAGAAAATTCGTGTTAGAATTATTAATCTTACTTTTTCGGTCATATTTAATAATATATATATATATATATATATATATATATATATATATATATATATATATATATATATATATATATATATATATATATATATATATATATATATATATATATATATATATGTATATATATATATATATATGTCGTACCTAGTAGCCAGAACGCACTTCTCAGCCTACTATGCAAGGCCCGATTTGCCTAATAAGCCAAGTTTTCCTGAATTAATATATTTTCTCAATTTTTTTTCTTATGAAATGATATAGCTACCCATTTCATTATGTATGAGGTCAATTTTTTTTTATTGGAGTTAAAATTAACGTAGATATATGACCGAACCTAACCAACCCTACCTAACCTAACGTAACCTATATTTATAGGTTAGGTTAGGTTAGGTGGCCGAAAAAGTTAGGTTAGGTTAGGTTAGATAGGTTAGGTAATCGAAAAACAATTAGTTCATGAAACTTGGCTTATTAGGCAAATCGAGCCTTGCATAGTAGGCTGAGAAGTGCGTTCTGGCTACTAAGTACGACATATATATATATATATATATATATATATATATATATATATATATATATATATATATATATATATATATATATATATATATATATATATATATATATATATATATAATATATATATATATATATATATATATATATATCAAAAACCAATTGCAGCCTACAACACGAGAACAGATCAAAGGATTTTCACATTATTTTATCATGTTTCTTTAAGAAAAATCTTGATGATTTTTTTCCCTTTTTTGTTGTTGTATTTTCTGAGTTTCGTTTGAATAAAATATAAATAATAATTTATTATTAATGCTATGAAAGGAAGCTTTTGATAATTGTAATAAATAGTGAAGGAAAAATTGAAGTGGTAGAATATATAATGTTAATATGTGTGTACATGTAAGTATTGTAGTGATGGCAAATAACTGCTTTCCCGTTATTTATTTCCCCTGTTATTTATTTCCCCTGTCGTTTTCAGTGACATAAATATGATCACAGGGGAGCGACTGAAGCCCCCCAGCAGCAGCAGCAGGAGCGGCTCCAACGCCCATTCTTCCCACACCTACCCAAGCCCAAGCTTCCATAGCCCCCGCCGACGACCGGACTTCCCTACAGACGACCCTCTTGATATTAACGGCAACCGGTCCACCTTCGATGGCCTTGTGGTCAACACGACCCGAAATAGCTCCCAGGAGAACCTTTCCATGAATGAAAATCGTTTTACGGAAAGCGATGGCGGGTTGACAGGGGGGAAGTCTGAGGATTCCTCGCTAACGGATAGCCCGCGAGCACGGTCCACGTCTCGGCCCAGGCCTCAAGGCAACAACAGCAGTAGCAGCCCCTCCGACACGCGTGGGACCTCTCAGATCAGCCCCGGGATAGAGAGACCGACAACGCGACATTCTAGTAGAGATGGCGTTCACTCGGCTTCGTCAGCTTCCATCATTACCCACGGTGGGATCCCTTTACGATCGCATTCCTCTCCAGAGCGCCGGTGCTCAAATGGTGTGTATCGATCTCACCTTTATACAGTTATTTCCATACCTTCGTAGCACTTGTCCATTCCTCTGTATTATGTGTCTGTAACGCTGTAATTTCTCTCCATACCTCTGTAATTTCTATCTATAACTCTGTATCATCTGTCCATAGCTCTGGAACTTTTGATCATGAATTATTACTATCTGTCTATACTTTTGTAACATCTGTTCACACCTCAGTAACATCTGTCCATCCTGCCACAACATCTGTTCAGACCACCATAGCATCTGTTCACATTTAGGCCATATATCTTGTTAAGTACCATAACATCTGTTCACACCTATCTAACATTTGTCCACCACAACATCTATTCAAACCTCAGTAACATCTGTCCACAAATGCTGTAACATCTGCCTCCACCTTTGTATCATCTGTCCACAAATGCGGTAACATCTGCCTCCACCTTTGTATCATCTGTCCACAAATGCTGTAACATCTGCCTCCACCTTTGTATCATCTGTCCACAAATGCTGTAACATCTGCCTCCACCTTTGTATCATCTGTCCACAAATGCGGTAACATCTGCCTCCACCTTTGTATCATCTGTCCACACACAACACTTTGCTGAATGTCTGACGTATAATATTGACATAAATAATTATATATGGTTAATGTTGTATCTGTTTATGTTGTGAGGAGCCGCTCTAGCAAACACACAATGCAACGACAACTTTATAACGTTTTTAAAATGTTGCAAAAACGTTGTAATGACATGAAAACACATAACTGGCAACGTGAACCTCAACTTTTGAATTCAACATTACCAAAATGTTATATATTAGGGTAAACAAACGTTTGTGGTTTCATTGTGTGTGTTTGCTTTGAGCTACAACTACCACGAATCATATTCTTAGACTCGGCTCACTCCTGTCCAGCTTCCCTCTCAAGTGCTATCTCAAGTAGGTGCTGGGACGTCTGGAGGAGGTGGTTCACACGTTCTGGAGGAGGAGGTCAGAGGAGGAGGAGGAGGTGTGGCTGTCTCGAGTCCTCCCCAACACCCCAATCTGTCTAATCGACGACGCTCAAACTCTAGAAACAATGTTAAGGTAGTTGACCTGTTGTTGAAACTTTATGTTTAATTCTTCGGTGAGGCCGCTAATGCGATGATGTAACCCGCACACAGAATTAACCGAACAAAAAGGTTTTCGTATTTCTTGTTAATCACCGCAATAGGATTTCACTATACTCTTAATTCATATAATTTAAATAACCAAAGCACTGTTGCACACCCTCTTCACTATTAACGAGACACTAAATTGGAATATAGACTTGCTGGTGATTTGATGTTTACTCACTTTATTACCGGAATCACAGCTTCATAGTCATATTAAAGTATAAACTCAAGTCATATTAAGTCATATTAAAGTATAAACTCAGGTCATATTAAGTCATATTAAAGTATAAACTCAGGTCATATTAAGTCATATTAAAGTATAAACTCAGGTCATATTAAGTCATATTAAAGTATAAACTCAAGTCATATTAAGTCATATTTATGTATAAACTCAGGTCATATTAAGTCATATTAAAGTATAAACACCGCCTGGTGCCAGTGACCTATAGAAAAACTTTAAGCTTACCTGGCTTGTATCTGATAGTTTCCTGACCCCAAAACGCTGCTCAGTCTCTATCGATGTCGTAGCTGTTAGTGTGTGTATATTGCCCAATAGAAACAGCATGTCTGATATCTTCAAATGTCCAGTGAAGATATCAGTTGTGGGAGCAAGCTGTTTTGATATTAAGCT